ACGCCAAAATATGAAACAAACAACAAAACATAAAAACACACGATAAACGCCAAAATAGACCGGTCGACACTAAAATAAGCCTAGAATCAACTCGAAAGCACACACAATCACATAGAAATAAACACAAAAACACAATAAACATTATGCGCACCTAATGTTATGCTATTAAATTATGGCTTTCGGACCAAGTGGGTTAAGAGAAATTTACTCCTCCTACTGCTACTTTAAATCTTATTTGTAAGATTACGATAGACTTATATTATTTTTATATGTACGAATGTCAAAAATAATAATAGGTAGATTTAACTTACTAAAAAAAAAAAAATTGTCACCACAATTAATTCTTTAAAGTTTATATAATGGTAGTGGACCAAAAATATCGGAGATCGTGCAAATCTCTATTTACCATATACATCTTCTAAAAAGAAAAAAAAGAAGAGAGATTTCTCTGCTCACAAATCTCGTTGTTTTTGTTTCTTTCCACCATTTTGAAAAACAGATTAAAAAAAAATCCTAACAATATTCACCTCCATAGTTTCGTTAATGGCCAAGAGTAGTCCACCACATGCCAAGAACCACCTCTCCTTATTCTCCACGAGAGCTCAATTGTCGGATTGTTGCTAACAACATGGATTTCTACTCAATGTAGGATTGTTGTCAGGAGAAGGCCAGATAAGACGAGAAGGGCGGCTATGCAGGCCGGGCAGAGGCCAATTGGATGTCCGCTCGCGGCCCGATCTCCCTGTGATGACAGCATGCTTCCGCTGTTGCATCCACCTTTCATAACCGCCTCCTCGTCAAAATTTTCACGCATCTGAACTGCCGAGGATTAGACGGCGTTCTGCTATTGCTAACCTCTCGCTGAAAATTCGTTAGTCGTTCACAGAATACCAACCGACAATGTCCGACGAGCCCGACGGTCCTCCTCTCTATTATAGTGATTGGATGTGTTGCAATAATAATTTATGAATAAAATTATAATTCATACTTGTTTGTTAATTGTAGAAATTGTCTTGTTTGGATTTTTTTAAATGTTTTTGTGCCTGTGTAGTGATTTGTCATGGACACTTTTGTTGTTGAATGCATGTATTGACTGAATTGGTTTGTGTTGGTATTATGTTATACAAGTATATTGAATTTCATCAATGTTTATATACTGTTTATATTATGTATATATATATATATGTTCAGTTTTTGTCGTCATGTTATATATATATATATATATATATATATATATATAGATATTACATTTGAAAAAAATTTATATGTTGTTCATCTTATATATATATATACAATTTTTGTTGTCATTTTATAAGATTATTGCATAATCAAAAAATGTATATATGTTGTTTATCTTATGTATATATATATGTACAATTAAACCAGACACAGAGAGGATGAGGTACTCATACTTGCTCTATCAACATGGTCGTATGAAGCAAGAAAATTTGTGTGAGAGCGCCGATGAATCTCTTGGGATGCTTGATGATGTAGAGCATGCAAAGCTCATGTTTGTTAGTTAAAATCTGACTACTTTTTGATGAAATACCTTTTGTCTTTAATGTATGGAGAGTTGGACCATGTTACTATTGGTTATATGTTTTGTTGGATATTTGTGCTTTTTGGATTTTTTAGTTGCACGAGATTATCCAATCAAATTGCACTGCTGGAAACGTTTGTTTATTCCGGTTTTCATATTTGATCTTAAGTTTACATAAACAGAGACATTCCCACATATTGGATAATACGCTTCAGTATTAACGTGTTTAACTAATGTATATTACACCGTGTATTAAACATCCGTGTAGTTATTATCCACCCTCCTATATCCTAGTTTTATCAACATATTTTTATAAAAATCAACTCAAGTATATGAATGTTAGTTATTGCTTGTTTATTTAAACTCATAAGACACATAAAATGTAACAAAGAATAAGATAAAACATATTCTTATATGTACAACTTATATACATTTGAATGACACCATTCTGTTTTTTTAATAACTCACGCATGTACAATTATACTAAAAGTAAACAATAAGTAAACAACAATAAAAGAACGACAAAAAAATTTCAATCAAATTGTTAAAACTTAAAAATTTCATAAAAAAAATAAAAACTAAGTAAACAAATCAAACTAATTTTGTTTTACTCTATTTAGATTTGAACATGTCTTTACATAATGTCATTTTTCCACCACATTTGTTGCACCTATTTTTCACCCGTACCTCCCGACTTGGTTTGAGTCTTTGTTGTTGCCGACGTCCTCGCCTCACTACGTCCTCGACGCTTAAATAAACCATTTGCATTATGCACATATACACTTTACGTAGTACTGCTGCGGACAAGACTTCTCCACTTTGGACTGATATTGGTTTGTTATTGCATTGAGGCTGTGCAATTTAATCGCTTCACTTTTATCTCTGAAAGTTTGGCCTATCACAATATCTGATATCATACCTCCGACCACAACTTCAAGTGTTCCAGAGTTGTTTATCTCCTGTTTATCTTCCATATAATTTTTCTGTTTACTAATCAGGATACCTCCGACTTGATAGTTCACGTATTCATTGTTGATCCACACTCCATTGTGATATATAAACACATTGACATCAGTCATGTTCCTGTAAAATAAACAGATTTGCTAAATAAATAATTTAGATTACAACAATATCTTTGTGTTTACTTGTTGCATATATTACGTTTAGATATTCAAAACGATGAAATTGTAAAAAATAATAATAATAATAATAATAATAATAATAAATTAAAGAACATGCAATAATCTCGTACTTGATCCCAAAAAAAAATTAAAAAAATATATATATTTAGTGTTTATCAACACAATGAATATACATTCGAGTTATAAACATATTATGCCTCGACGCAACATAATGAAAGAACAAAATAAAAAAAAAAAAATAACGTTGATTTCGTAATTGATCAACAAAAAAAAACATAAACATGATTATACCTTCGATTTTTTGGCTCATTGATATTCCCCGATCAATTTCACAAATAAAAACGATCATCTTTTTTTTTTCTCCCTACTGATCGGTGTTTCTTTCTATATGCAAGAGATCGCTCGTTCCTCTGTATATCCAATTTCGAATTTTGAAATCGTTTAAGAAAATCTGCAATTTTTGTTTTTTTTTTTGGAATTACCGTTTTTGCTGCGTTGATCACGGGATCATCATGCCACGTGATTAATTTATGGAGAGAGAGAGAGAGAGAGAGAGAGAGAGAGAGAGAGAGAGAGAGAGAGAGAAGCGTAACAGATTGACTTAATCAAAATCTCGTACTTATGCAAATAAAATCATAATAGAATCCTTTTTTGATTAATATTTTCAATGGATGTAGATATGTAAATATTTATACAAGATGCCCCATGTACGTAAATTTCCCGTGGGTTAATGTAAGACTATGTGGCCGAAAGCATTGGACTCACAATTAATTAACCTATTGGGCTAGAGCTTTATTTAATAGTCAAACAAATCTAAGTCATTGATCTGGATAATTAATGGATGTACCAGATCTAAAGCCACCCCTACAAAAATTAGTCATCAATCCTCCAATTAGGGTACGCAGTATTTTTCCCATTAGTTTTTCTGCTACATGAAGAGAAGGTCAGGAGGAGAGAAACTAATTTATATCTATCAATCGATTTCCCTGTGATAATCAAGATCAAGATCACAAATTAGTTGTTTATGTCAAGATCGAGAGAAGATAAGTTAAAGTTAATCTATGATTTATCTTGATAGCGAGAGGAGATAATCAATTGTTAAAGATTGATGAATATGTATCGTAAGTAGCTGAACAAACCGAGAGATAATTTACACCCTTGCATTTTAAACTCACAGTCAACTGTAAAGATAAAAATTCAAGCTCACAAAGACACAAACACCACTGAATGATGAAAATTCAACCTTAGATAACATATATATGTAGGAAATAAGTGCATATGCGCACCACATTGCATTGGAATTCTATGACATATATCTTAATGTAAGATTATATAATTAAGACATAAAGAAAGTGACGACTATCAAGGCGCCTTATTTAAGCATCTTTTTAGTATATATGAAATCTCGAGAGTTGCAGGAAAATTAAGTGCATATGGGCATGACCAGATTGGTACCGTTTACATTCCTGCATATATAACAATATTGATTAATGTAACATTAAGTATAAAAACACTAAGATGCAAACTAGGTACAAATATAGTTTTTCGACTGGGACAGGCCCGACAGGTGACCTGGATTTGGAACTGGTCCGAGTGGATTATTAGGATCGGGTAATAATTGAACCGGTGGATTTGATTAATCGGAGACTTGCCCAGGTCGATTTCCCAAGCAGGGTTTAAAATCTATGAATACAACACATAATCAAATGTTTTTTTCATGAATTTTGTAATAGACCAATTAAATTCCGCTGGTGTTTTATTAAGAAAATTATTAAAGATCTTTTACCGCCTACGTGTGTGTAACCAATACATAATAAATAATTTCAATTTAAAATATTATATGGCAGAACAAACTTGGAAAGTGGGATTTTGATTTTTTTTTTTTTAAAAAATACCCTTTCTTCTAGAGCTTTTAAATGAAATCGCTCGGGCTCACACTCAAGTTCAGATAAACTCATTTGATAAACAAGTTGAACTTGAGTTTGAGTTTCACTCGTTTTAGTCGACAAAACGAGCTGAGCTCGAGCACATCTAAAACTTGTTTAGTTAACAATTGAAGTCGACTCGCTAAAGGTTGAAAAAAGAATTTTCTTTTTGCACTTGTTTATAGTTCGTCTCGTTGATATTTGATAAATGAATTGAGCTCGAGTTCATTTTGTGAACGAACAAGCTTGTTTATACTACTATTCTCTTCCCGAAAACTCAACCAAACATGAAATTTTTCGAAATGCTACCAAACATGAAATTTTTCGAAATGCAACCAAACAAGGAATTCAAATCTCTCCTTTCCACTGCCATTCCCTCCAGTTTTCTCTATCAAATTAAAGGGACTTTTTAATTGAAATAGTATTTCGTTTAAGCTTAGTCGGGAATCAACTTGAGTAGGTCTATGGGCCATCGCATTACTGGTTCAACTGATGGGTCATGGGTTTGAATCAGATAATTAAATTAAAATTTTAAAATATGTAGGCCTGATCGATGCTTCGGTGAATGCTGGGTTGACCAGGTTTTGACCTAGTTTTGACCAAATTCGTTGTTACCCTGTATGAAGAAACCACTCGGCAAAACTATGTTTCATTGACAAATGGACTTGAAGTTGAATACTTACATAGGAGATAGATTTGGGAGACAAGCTAGGGCCTTAGGTACGGTGCCTAATAAACCTGCATTATCATTTAGCCCACTGTCCTTGCGAAAGTCAAAGACACAAGTCATAAGATGGATAAAGAGATATCGTATTAGTTATTACTTAATAAATAAAATCTATTTAATTTTACTTAATAAATTTTATTCATTAAAATTTAGTCTCAATAAATGATACAGGGGAGAGAGAAAAAATAAAAACATGTGTAATTAAGTAGGACGACAATTTTGTAACTTTCTTAACACAATAATTGTTCCACTATATTATTATTATTATTATTATTATTATTATTATTATTATTATTATTATTATTATTATTATTATTATTATTATTATTATTATTATTATTATTATTATTATTACATTAATTCACTATATCCCATTAATGATAAAAAAAATTGTTTGCACTTTTTTTTTTGGTTAATTAAGACAAAATTCGTTACTTATTAAATTAATTGAATAATAATTATATTTTTTTATTATCATATAATAGTTATTATTAAAATTAATAATTATATTCTACACTAAATGATATATGTAAGTTACATAAACATTAAAAATTATATTGTAAAAACTTTGTGTTCAAATGATTTATTCTAAATCAATATTATATTTTTATTTGACTAACCAATTGTTATTCAAATAAATTGATTTATCTTAATGTCATAGTAAAATTTCTTAAAACCACATAAGAATTTTTATGATAAGTTTAATATTTTTCAGCTAATTAATTGGTCATGCTCCCTCAGAACTACAAAAATATGTTATTTATTACATTTTATGCAATCAATATAGTGATTCATCTGCAATGAAATCATTATCTACTACTTATTTTAACCAATGATCAAATTTTTAAAACATAATGACAGTATCAAACTTATAATTTTAATATTTTATGCATAAATATATATATATATGTGTGTGTGTATATATAATACTCTATGTTTGAAATTTAATATCATTATCTAACTTATAAATTTAATATATGCACATAGAAATAACTTATAATACTTTATTTATATCTGTGCAAGTGCACAGGGTCAAATTCTAGTTGTTATAATAACAATTATAAATACATTGAAATACTTGAAATGAAGGAGAATATTGTAGTAAAAATTGATAAAATTAATTATTACTAACCTATCCAAAATAAATAACAACAAGGCTACTATTAGGCAGTATTAATTTTTCAATTGATATGTATAATTTCAAATTACAATGTTATATTTCCAATTACAATATAAATGAAAATATTACATTTCATAATATAAGTATAAGTCTTTTATTTATATAAAAAAATATATGATTAATCGACCCGCCTAATTGTTAAGTCGTCGCATTACATACATAAATCTATATCTATATCTATATAATGGACCAATCCTTATTACCATAATTGGTATGGTTTTGGGCAGGAAATTTTCGTCTATATTTGGCATTTAATTAATAATTATTTATTAGCAACTCTTATGCATGAAAAACAAAATTATTTTTTATGCACTCAATGACTAATATTCATTAACTATAAATTGGCTTAAATTGAAAATTGATAGTAGATTTATTAGATCTATTTTCAATAAGATCTTATATAAATTTAATAGTAATATATTGACACAATTCACAAAATTATTATAAAAATTGATTTTGATTAAATATATTATCATCTATAGTTGTAGGTATTAATTTAATTAATTTTACTCACTATTCAGAAGTGCTTAAAATATTTAATAAAATAATTAGAATAACTATGTTTAATCATACTAATTTAATAAACAATTTAAAATATTAATAAAAGTTTCTGAAAAGTAGTCAAATTAATTATGAAAATGTACATCTCTACTGAATATATCATTCGTAGTGATAAAACTATTGAAAATTAAATTAATATATTAATAAAAATAAAATTTGATGTTCGGGTGCAATTCAAAGTTGTAAATTTTACCTTAGAGAATCTATGTACATTAAAAAACTATTCACTTTTTTAAAAATATTTTTTTTCCTTATATACTATTTTAAAAATGAAAATAAGTTAATAAAATACTAATATATAATAATTTATATTATATCACTTGGTAATTATTTAAATATATAATATATCTAAATATTGGGATATAAACTAATTATCTCATTATATAGGTTGGAATAATGAATTAATGAAATAAATGTAAATATGATCTGAAGAAGTAAAAACAAAATATACAACCAAAAAAATTATGTGTTGCATAATGATTAAATTAGTTACTAAAAAGTAAAATTTATATATCAAAGTTTGTAACGGTTGCATGCACTTAATAATTATAGCGAAAGATAAATATTATGGGTTAAACGTTGGTCAATTATCAAACAATGTGCAAATTATAAATTGTTGAAAAAATTGTAAGACGTTGGTAATCGACAATTTTATAAGTACATATAAGTAATTTGTATGCAAATATCATATAATTATACATATGTAATATTTTATAAACGTATAAATAAAATAAATTTCATATTATTACTTAATAGAATATTGTAGAGAATAATTTTATAATATGTAAATAATAAAATATTTTTTATATTGCATCTCGTGTATCGCACAGGTATCAACACTAGTTTATAGTTTATAAGATAGCTAATAAATTCACTTACATGTATTCCAATTTGTTCAATTTTTCTAACTCCGTTGGAATTCCGCCGGTGAGAGCGTTGTCGGAAAGGTCCAAGCGGACCAACTCAGTAAGCTGTCCAAGCTCCTTGACTATAGACCCATTTATCTTATTCCCGTGTAAGTCCCTATTAATAATCACACCAGACCAGATCAAATAAAACATACGATACAAATTATTAGTTCAACTAAAATCATTTTCACAGTCAAACAAATATATATGTATGAACAAGCATATACAATTTAATAAAATTCATCTTTTTTTTTTTTTTTTTTT